GCTTCAACTATAAAGTCCGAACAAAAATTGATTCGAACAGAACAAACCCAGCTTTTACGTGTTAAATGTCTATTTTTATATTACTATTAATGCCTAATTTTTTTTACTATAGTCAAGAACGGGTCAAGATAAGCTTTCATTAAAATTTCTTTCATTAAGCGCCAGTGTCAATGTAATTTATACTGATACTAGCGCTTAATGAAAGAAATTTTAATAAAAGGTTATCCTGACCCCGAGAACGCTTCAACTTCGTACCTTACTGACTGGTCACAAATGTGCCAGTAAGAAAAAAGAAAACACTCATCTTTTCCATAGCGGTCGCGAACGGCCATTTTTTTGAGTTAAAAGGTAACAAGATGTTCGCCGTCGATACAAAATCAAAATAATAAGCGACAAAAAGCTGATGAAACTAAATGTTCCCAGAACATATAGAAGATGAATTACGAATAATTCGCCCATGTGAAAGGTTGGGAGAAATTTCACCTAAAAAAGCCGATTCAAAACATAAAAAATGGAACAAATCTACTATAATTTGTTTAGTTTTGACTCATTTTCTCTGTGTCTAGTTTCTGTTGTTACGTGTCTGTGTTTTGCCCCGTAGTTTTCTATTTCTGTATTTTGTGTATTCTTTCTTTTTTTGAGAAAGTTGAGCAGTTCGGGAAACAGGATCAGTGGGTTCACTATGTGAATTCTTTGTTTAGAAACTTCAAGAAATGAAACTGCTATATAACTTACTCTTTTCATCTGTTTATGTAAGAAATTTGTAGACATGTTCGTGTATATAAAACTTGGTTTTTAAACGCCAAGATTATTATCTTTCAGAATCATGCAAGAATTCGATGATATCGACGATAGTTTGTTATTGAATTATTGTAAAACCATTCCTAAACTTGAATTACACGCTCATTTAAATGGATGTATTCGTCAAAAAACGTTTCATGAATTATTATCAAAAACTTCTCCCACTGACTTAGCCTGTTTATTATCGATTGAAGAGAAAGAACGTCTAGCTACAACATCACATAATCGAATGTCTTTAATATTTGATAAATTTGCATTATTACGTTCTTGTGTGACGAAATTAGAGGATGTTAAACGAATTACATATGAAACATTGGAAGATTTTTATCTCGACAATGTTATCTATGTTGAGCTTCGTACAAATCCTCGTTCACTATTAGATGGTAGTACTAAACGTGATTATATCCAATGTGTTCTTGATGTTATGAATCAGTTTCAATACGATCACGAGAATAAATTTCATAGTCGATTATTATTATCAATTGATCGTGCACAAACGATCGAACAAGGTTTTGAAACATTAAAATTAGCGAAAGAATGTTCGTTGAATGGTATTGAATTATCAGGTAATCCGAATTACAAAACATTTAATCAATTTCGTCCAATATTTGAAAATTGTGGTTTATTGACAACAATACATACTGGTGAATTACCAGATGACGAATGTTTAAAAGAAAATACTTCTATACTCGATTTTAAACCACAGAGATTAGGACATTTTAATTACTTTACTCCAGAACAGTATGAACGTGTTCGACGTGAACAAATTCCTATTGAACTATGTCCAACATCAAATTATCTAACAATGAATTTGAAACATATGAATGAACATAATTTTAAAAGATTTTATCAAATGAATCATCCTTTATGTTTATGTACTGATGATAGTGGAATAATGAATTGTTCATTATCAACAGAATTGTATCATATAGCTAAAGCATTTCAGTTAAATCAAACAAATGTTTACCAATTAATGCGCAAAACATGTCAGTATATATTTGATAAACAATTAATTCAAACATGTCAATCTGTTTTGGATAAATATGAAAAAGAAGCACGCTAATCAAAAAATATGATCAACTTTATTTCTAGTCTCTTATTATAGAATCATTTTTAATTTGCTAATATCATTTTTTTCGATCAATAGGTACACCATTTCACAATAATTTTAATAAGTTAATTTTGGAAGGTTTAGAGAAATATACTTTTACGAAATTATCGTTTCTCCCTTCTATTCGCTAGGCAGTAATGATATGTTTTTCTTTTTGAACTGTTTGCATCTGAAAAAGTGAAAATATCCAAACATCATTTTAAACAAATTATTCATTTAATGAGAAAAGAATATATTGTCGAAGAAAAAGAGAAACAAGATGAAGCTAATTCAAAATGAAAATTATCTTCTACAAATGATAAATAGAGAATAAATGTTAACGGTGAACAAACATCAAACATCAGGACCAAAAATTAAAAAATAGGCATTGTCAATCTATATATATTTTTTTCTACTCATTATACACTCATTTTTGTAGTTGTTTATTTTATATTCATTTTTATAATTATATTGTGTAAAAAGTCGTTTCTTTTTAAGATAATGTCATAAGTAACTACATTTAAAGATGATCTCCTATCAAGAGTAATTAATGCGTCATATCTACACACCGTTCTTCCATTCATTCCTTGAGATAGATACTCGTTGTTCATTTTATATTTCATCCATCAGTGATTTACTCCAATCGGATATTTATGTTAGTAAGAAAATTTTAGAAGTTACATAAAAGCAATGTGTTTGCTTTATTTTTTTTAATGGAATTATTCAAGTTTATCACTAGTTTATCTGTGCTTGGCTTTGAATAAACTCATTCAATGTTTGCCTGATAGTAAGAGAATATTACACGAATATGGTGTGGTAATTTTTTCTTGCATATTTATAATGAAATCGTTCACAATCTCTTACTTAGATCATCGAGTTCTTTTTCTTCGTTCGACTAATCAGTGCCATGTATAGGGTTTCCCTATTGTAATCTTTTTTTACTATATTTATGTCTTTTCATTCTAGACTATTTATTCTTTTGTTTGAAAAGATAACGCCTTTCTTATTCTACACCACTGAAGAACAAAGTTTCAAAAATATCAACGTTGAACTAATAGTAGTTATTACACTAGGCCGCAATATGCTATACTCTCTTATTGAAATTTATAATTATCTGTTGAACATCAATAGCTATTCGAATATAATTTGTATTCGTTAACGGGTCAAATCATTACTAACTGAATCAACGTATTTGAAATATCAATAAATGTCAAATAAGCAGACGATTGATACAACAAAGACGATAAATAATTTACAGATGAATAGTTTAGTACAGGTATATATGTATTAGTGCATATATTTGAGCACAATATTAGGCAAAAGTTAAATAGAAAAAATAATTTATAATGGATCGGTTTTTGAAAAATGATATTGTTTTGTACATGAAGCATGATTGCTCAAAATAGATCTCAAATGTGAAGAAGTGTAGAATCAACGGCTGCTTTCTCAAGTGTTGTTCTTATTTTTGCACTTGATTAACAAATTTTCATCTCTTATATAAATAGGATAAAAAATATTTTTAATAATTGAAAATAAACTAAAATATAATAAAACATATTTACAAAAAATATAGATTTATGTTGATTGCATTTTTTGAATAAATCTACGATATTCATACAGAATTTTGTATTTATTTATGATTCTGTATAAAATACATGCGACAGAAAAAATAACTGACAAAATTGATTTTATTAATGAACGAGAGAGAGAGAAAATAAACTACTAAGATGTCACTTTTGCTGATGTTTCATCTTCATGTTAAATAGAAACGATGTTGCTGGAATTTGTATTAGGATCGATGAAATATTTAGTATTGACATTGTTAAGTTAGGTTATAGTTTGATTTTGTTCACAATGATGTTGATCATCGTTTTTCGCTATTTTCGTAAATCTGACCTACTTGTTGAACTGATTTCTCTTTGAAAGACATTCAAATAAACCTTGATGTTCTCTGCTATATTATTATATTTTAGATAATTATGTCAATATTGAATTATAAAACATCGCTCAGAGAAATTCTTGACAATAGTTTAGATTTGAGTATATTTGACGATAAATTTCCAAATGAACTTGATAAAAATCTTCTTGACATGTTGACAAAAGCTAACCAATATCTTTATAGTAGTGATGATGAGAATAATTTAAAGAACTCAAAATTATATACAAAACTTTTACTTGATTATTCATGGGAAAAATTAAATACTGGTATATGGCAAAATGTCAAAGATGTTTACCGTTATTTATATTCTTATTCACGTTACATTGATGTATTAGTCGATTGCTGTTTGATTAAGACACAAAAGCAACAAGAATGTCAAGTGAGTTGAAGTGTAGTATCCCTTTGTCCATCATCAAGTATACTCTCTCTTTTTTAGTAGGATATTATAAAAAAATGTGATTTGGGCATTCTTCTTGGCGGTCCAATACTTGAAAAAAGATTTAATCAAATAATTCATTTGTTAAATCAGTTCAAAACTGATAATAACGATGTGAGTCCATTCTAATGTATATCGGTAGAAAGTAGCCTTATTTGCTATATTTTAGAGTTCTCCAGTCGCTCCGAAGAGGCCACGTCTTCAGTCAGACAGTGTCAGCGTTCTGATTACACCTGTTATTGACAAATCAAAACAAATTGAATGTGTTGAACAACCATCGATCGAACAGTTTTTAGTTAAATATATGAAACAAAACAAACCCGTTGTTCTCACCGGATGTATTCAACATTGGCCAGCGATGAAAAAATGGAAGTGAGTGCGATAAGCTACTCTCATGAGTCTGTTCATTTCATTACATTTCGGCTGTAATGAATTTTAAAGTTACAAAATTAAGGGCAGTGGCAACTGAAAACCTGTTGAAAGACGTACACAATTGTACCACGGTCTAAAGACTTGTGAAGATAAGATATTCTCTAGAAGGAGCTCGTAATATACAAAAATATGTTAATCCTGATCTGTCAGACAAATCAGTAAAAAGGAAATCATTACGAGGAGTATTCAATCAGAAATGAAATGACAAAAAGCTAAATATGTATCACGGATAATGTGATGCAACATTTCTCTATGATTTAGTTTTGATTATTTGGTAAAATTAGCTGGTGATCGAACAGTGCCAATTGAGATTGGTAGTCGTTATACAGACGATAATTGGACACAAAAGTTGATGACAATTAGTGATTTTGTGAATTTATATTGCAAACAAAACGTAGGTGTGCAACATCATTTTTTTATTTGTCGTTTATTTTTATTTATTTTTATTCAGGCAGGGAAACGCGGTTATCTTGCTCAACATCCTCTATTTGAACAAGTATGTTGTTTTAGTGAAAAATGAATTAATATACGAATTAAAGAATTCACTTTAGATTCCAGATTTGAAAAATGATATTTGTATTCCAGATTACTGTTATATCAGTTCAGATGATAGCAACGATAATGATGAAGACGTCGAACTAAATGCGTCAGTCATTAATTAAAGAAGTATAAAACTGTAATTTTACAATTTATTTATTTTTATTTCAGATGGATTGGAAAACAAACGATTTCACCGTTACATACAGATCCAAAACAAAATCTTTTAGCACAGGTGGCATATCTTCAAAAAAGCAAAAATTTACCGTTCATGCACATGTTGCTTATGTTTAGGTTGTTGGAGAAAAATACATTCGCCTATATGATCCCATTCACACACCGAATCTTTATGCTCATGGAACAACAATGTTGAATAACACAAGTGCGGTAAATATTATTTGAATTTCAAACTTCTTTAAAGTAAAGTAAACTGTACAAATCTAACTAAGCTTAGTATTGTTAACAGATTGATGTTGAAAATCCAGATTACGAACAATATCCTAAATTCAAAGATGTGCCTTATCTTGAGTGTATTTTACATGCTGGTGAAATGTTATATATTCCAGCAAAGTATTGGCACTATGTAAGATCATTGTCAGAAAGTTTTTCAGTGAACTTTTGGTGGTCATAATAGTAGTTTTTCATATTTTTCTTTTATCATGTTATTATAATTAAAAGTTGTTTGATACTGTTCATTTTATTTTATAATATTCTCTCTCTACGTTTGATCTATAATGAATTGTCGATTGTTCATTACACTTATCTATGCTTAATTTCAGATATAATATGAATTTTACAGAATTATTTCGTGTAACAAATCGTCTATGTGACTATTCACCATGTGGTGAATATTTAGCATGTGCTAATCATTATCGTTTAATCGTACGTTCAAGTTCAACATTGGAAATAATTAATTTATTTGCTTGTATCGATACTATCGATAAAATTGAATGGTCCTATGATTCACGATTGATTCTCGCTGGTCTTTTAAAACGTAATGCTGTACAAATATTTTCATTAGATAATCCCGAATGGAAATGTAAAATAGATGAAGGTTCAGCTGGTCTGTGCAGTGTACATTGGTCACCAGATTCACGTCACATCTTAACAACATCACAATTTCATTTACGTATTACGGTCTGGTCGCTAACATCAAAAAGTGTTTCATATATCAAATATCCAAAAAAATTAAATCAACAACCATCGTATGTATTTAGTCCAAATCATCAATATATGGCATTAGTTGAACGACGAAATGATAGTAGTGATCATATTTCAATATTTGATTGTACATCAAATTGGTCAATGGTTTCACATTTTCAACCGGACTTAGAAGATTTACAAGGGATTGTTTGGTCTCTAAATGAGAATGGTAATAGTGGTGGATGTGGAACATTGTGCATGTGGGAGAATTCATTTGAATATAAAATATTATTTTATGCATTAAATGGTCAGTTATTAAATGTCTATAAACCAACTACGCCATCACAAACATTGGGTATTCGTTGTGTTAAATGGTCACCAACTGGACAAATCTTAGCCGTAGGAAGCTATAATGAAACAATAGCATTATTTAATTATCTAACATATAAAAAAATTCAAACATTTCAACATCCACAGAAATTATCATCAAATAATTATATTATACTAAGAGAAGAACAACAACAGAGTCCACTGATGGTAAATCAAACAAGCCAGTAAGTTAACTTTTTCTTTTCCAATGATATTTATAAATACTATTTTTTGATCATTATATCCTTTGACCTATAAGCCCATATGGAACTAAACTTCTTAGCTATGGATTTCAAATTAATAATCAACTATAATTTTTCGACGTTCAAGTCAATGCGTAAGAACATATCATTAAAAACACGTTAACAAAGTCACATTTTACTTGAATTTTGGTTGTGTACACTACACAGGTGTCAGATAGTTCAGAAATAATGATACGTTGTTGTTTTTAGATTTCTTCATAGATATTCATCGAATAAAAATTTGCGCTTAAAGTCATTCAATTAAGAATTCAATTCTCTACAAAACTCCAGTGGTTTTGATAGAAAATAAACTTGATTTCACGATAAAAGGATGAAAAATCAGAGTTATATCAGTTATATTCATCTTTTTTGACCTTCTACTTCTACTCAAATTTTAATCAAAAAATTTTTAAAGTATCATTAAAAGATGCTGAATTTTACGAGGAATCTTTTGGTGTATTCGAAGTATTAAACTGACTTCATTGTAGAACAGGATTGATGTATCAGTTATTTGTAATGGTGTAGTAAGACCATTTAGGATATTTTACTTTTTCATATTCTACAATAAAAAAGAAAAGATTTTTCTCAAAACTAAGTCAACTTTTTGTAGAGAATTAAATTCTAAATCGAATGAGCTTAAGTGCAAATTATTACTCGATGACTATCAGCACAGAAACCTAAAAACAATAGTATATCATTATTTCTGGACCATCCGATAAACTGACGTTTTCTGGATGAATTTCATGTTCAAAACTTTATATTTCGTTGAGAAAAGGCACGGATTAAGTAGCTGAGTACTAAGAAATTTAGATATTCTTTCATAAAGAGAGTAATGTAGTTTTAATTTCGTTTTATTTTGCCTCACAATAATTAGCTTTATTCTAGTCCACGTAAATATTCGTCATCATTATATTCTTCGAATAGTAACAACAGCGCTACCAATGTCAGTAGTACAATGAATGAATCAAAATATGTCATCTACGATGGTACATTACAAATTTCACCCATTAAACCCGATTTAGATCGTTCAAATCCGCGTCTTGGCGTATCGTCTCTCGAATTTAGTTTTAATGGTCGTTATATGACAAGTATAAATGATACAATGCCAAATCTTTTATTTATATGGGATTTTTCAAAATTTTATCTATCCTATATTCTTATTCAAACACAACCGATTCGTTGTATCAAATGGGAACCAAATAGAAATCGTCTCGCTTTATGTACTGGCAATAATTGTTTATATTTGTGGACAATTAATGGTGCGGCATGTATTAATGTGCCAGATGAATCAGCTAAATTAAATATTTTTGAATTAAAATGGAATCCTCTAGGAAAAGCAATAACATTAATTGGACAAGATAATATGTGTGTAGGTTTTATCGACGTTGATAAACAAACAACAGCAGCAGCAACTACAACGACAGATAATGTCAATAATGGAACACTATAAATGAGTTTCTACGTCGTGTGTATGTTTGTCGTAGTCAGATATAGAAAAAGAGACCATTAATTGAGAATGAAATATATTCAGATAAAATTATATCAGTGATAATAAATTAGATTTTTTTTTATTTATGTATTTATATAGTATTAAAAATTAGAATGGTTTTGGTTTTTCAGTGAAATGAATAAATAATTTTTCTTCTTACTATTTTCTCATTTATCTAATTAAATAATTGTTATGATCAAGAAATCTAGATTAGAGCAATGGTATTATGAGTTAGCAAATGTTTCTCTAGTTTATTACAAAAATTATAAATTGAAAAATTTGATATTATGAAATTTGAGACTAGTGGCTTAGTTGGTTTAGAATTTCGTTTATTTAAATGAGGGTATATAATTTAGTATAATATGGTATTCTATTGAATTACAAATATTTCATCCTATTTTTAGATATGACTAACTAGCATAACTCTTGAACAAAACACGTTAATATGTCAACAGAAACCGACAATTTAAATAGTGACAAATCGAATGAGAAGAATAATAACAATCAGGATATAGATTCTGAAACATCACCGTCTGATATTCGAAATGGTGATGAAGAAAAAGATGATGATGATGATTCTATCACTGAATTAGATTTTTTTGATTTTTTCGAAACAATATGTGATAAAATAGATGAAATAGATGCGAATAATCAACAAAACGTTACAGAAAAAACGATACATGAATTAAAAGACGACACACATGAATTATGGAATAAAACTAAAACACGTTTAAAAAATCAAAGACGAGAATTAAAAGACGAATTCCAAAAACGTATACAAAAATGGCGTGAACATTTAAAAAAACCAAATATTATTAAAGGACGAGATAAAATATCGTTTTCTATTGGTGTGGCAAATGCTTGTGGAACACCATTGATTGGTAAGAATAGAAGAATATAAATGTAGCTTCTGAAGTTGGAGTAAGTTCATGAGAAGCGAATGTCATATTCTTTCCAAAGAATCGAATTTGTCGTCAAGACAATCGAAAAGAGAACTTGTTTGGAAAAATTTGTTCATTTTTCTCTCTATTTCTGAGTTTCTTTAACTTTGCTAGCCTTCCACTGCCCCTTCGTCTACTGTTCGACAATTTCTGAGTGTTTTAGTGCCATACATGTTGTGATACAACATATCTCAACTGCTGCTAATAATGACCGACTACTATATTATCTGAGTATCATTTTACATTGAGCTTTGCTACTGAATCTCAACTTACAAGAAAGATATTTATGACACTATCTAACTCTCACACAGTCAACCACGTGTGAACATCAGACTTCATACGGTCCACCACGCTGCCAAACACGGTTAAATCACGCAATATGTGATCTTTTTCTACACAGCACTCATACTTTACCCCTTCGAGGTCATTCTCTAGCATTGTACTGAGCTGTTGTGGGTTCGCTCCAAATTTTTGTTTTGTTATCATTGGCAAATAATCGCTTCTTTTGCCATATGTAATAAATATAACGTAGCGTTACACTCTCTTGACTAGGAAAGAGCGAGAAATGAACATATTAGTTATTTTTTATTCTCTTTTTTAGCTGGTAAATGGCCCCATTTATTGCCATTAGTTTATACGATTCAAGCAATATTTCTCATAACAATGAGGTATGCAATCACTAACAAATAGTTACAATTTAGTTTGATATATGTTTCAATTGTTTGTTAGATTTTTTATTTACAAAAAGAAGAGTTGGCACTATTTTATTTATGACTTATGTTATTTTGTAAATGTATTAACGTTGATTTATTTGTGGATACTTCCAGGTTCACCAGTTTTATTTACAGCCGCTTATCTACTTGCCCATGGTCCATTAGGTATTATAATACGAACATTTTTTTTTCACACATATCCTTTTTATTTATATTTTAGCTTTGGCAATTATTTTATGGAGAAATTCTCTCGTATTTCATAGTAAGTCGTATCAGTCCTATTTCACTATCATAGTAGAGGTTAAGACTCTAATTTGCAGTGAAAATGAACTTATTAAACTTCAACAGATAGTTGTGTGTACGTATTTACACTTTTGTTTTATATTTTAGGTATGGATAAAGTAACCAGTTGTTTTATACATATGTATCCACCGTTAACTCTATACACAATTCGTTGGCTATTACCATATGATTATCAATTAACACATTATCCGGCTATTGCTAAGCTTGGTGATCGTTTAAATGTGTTTAGTTCTCTATTTTATGTAATTGTTGCATACGTCATTTGGAATATATTATATTATATTTTAATTGTCTATGGTAGACGAGAAAAAGTTGAAAAAGGTTTACGTACCACATCGTATACATGGTTATTAGCTGATGAAAAAGGTTTCGTCTCGCGTATCATTAAAAAATTTGGTGGTAGTGTAAAAAATTATAAGGTAGAACTTTATATGTTATTACAATTTGGATATGCTCTAATATCAGTTATACCGGCATGTCTCTGGTATTATCGATATATGATGGTGAATGTTTTATTTTTGTGTTCAATATTTGCTGTTAGTGTGTACAATGGAGCCACATTTTATATTGATGTATTTTCTCAACGTTATATAAAAAGTTTAAAATTATTAGATGAAAGTGATTCGGATGAGAATGCTCCAGTAAGAAAACAATCAAAAACAAGTTCAACCGAGAATACAAATAACAAACAAGAATAAATTAGATATAAAAATTCAAAATTATTTAACAAGCAAAATTTTTTTATGTAGATGTTAAACAATTTACTCTTCTTCTTCTTCTTCTTTACTAAAATGTTTTTACGAAATGTGTGTCATATTTTATGCAATTATTGCATACATTATTTGGAATATATTATATTATATTATATTTTAATTGTTTTTATGAACGTTAGAAGGTTGTTACGTCCATGTCATATACATGGTTACTAGTCGATGAAAATGATTTTATCTTGAGTTTCATTGAAAAATTATACGTTGGTGAATGTGTGAAAATTCACAACGATCTCCGTCACTCTGAGTGATTTGTGGGAATGTTTTAATGATGACTTAATGAGAAATGTAGTTGTCTTCCTGTTGGTAAATACCAACAATAGTAGCATGAACTCTGATTTTCTTATTTGTTTTTTCACTACTTGAATATTCATTCGATGGCTCAAGTGATCTTCACTGATACCTTCATGTTTTTTCCTCGTCAAAATTCTGTTTTCCTCTTTACAATATTTTTATGTGGTTTAATCGAGGATTGTAATTCTTTTTTTATTTTGTATACATTGTTTTTTTCAGTATGTTTTTCAACTCACGAACAAAATTTGACATCTTAAAAAATAAACACCGATCTGAACTGTATAAATTCGGGAAAAAAATCCACTAAACACAAAAGTTCATGGATTAAAAAAGAGTTTTAAAACTGGTTTGAAAAACAACTCTTTAATAAAGAGTGAGAATCGGATGAACTATCGATGCTATTTATTTTGGTTTAAAAATTTTTAATTCCAGTAAATTTGCTGTAGCGTGAATATCAGATAGTTGTTAGTTCAATCTTTATGTAATCATAAACAATAGATATGTCAGAGCTAGTTCTAGTAACGTGAATTCAAATATGGATGTAATTGTGATAGAAAAAAAAACTACATTCACTAAAACAGACACTCCACGTAATGGTCAATTGTTGCGTTATTTTAACGTCTTTGTAAAAATTCGTAGATCTTGACGTAACGTATAGAGTTGGCGAATATCTCATTTTGTAGGTTAAACATTTCTCTCTATACTGACAATCAGGCAAAATTCACTCGATGGCTCTTTCAACAGACGGAATGTATCAAACAAAAGCTACTTTTCTAAAACATTGTATCTCTTCACTGAGTCATCAATTGAACTTCTCTGGCTTGTTGGCTCAGAGAAAAGTGTTTAAACTACAAAATGAGACATTCTCCAACTCTATACGTTACATCAACATTTACAGTGTACAAAGAGAACATAAAATAATCCATTAAAAAAGAACAGCAGTAAATCAATAAACAAAGAGAAGAGAAATAAAAGAGAAAATACTAGGAATAAACAACTAAAACCATAGTGTTTTTCTTTCTCGAATCTCTTTGTTGTACAAAGAAATTCAATAACAGCATGGTAAACAAATGTGAAGTTGAAAAGCTAAAAAAGAATATTTTGAACTTTGTAAAAAACAATAAAAGGAAAAATTTCGATCAATTCATGATTCAATCTGTCTGTATTTACATCATATTAGTACTTCTGTTCCGATTTCATATCGATTTGTTTTTTAATATCACAGATTTTCTCTGAAGAAGTTTCTCGTATTTTCTCTATGATTTGCAAAGAAAAGCGAAAATTTATGAAATTCCTTTTTAACAGCATACGACATGATCATTATTTTCTTTTCTACCCTAATGAATGTACTGGATTCAGAGTATCCGTACAGAGAATAAGTCAGCACGGTACATATATGAGTAGTGATGAAGTTTTTTCGGGTTGTTTACTGATAAGTTCTCTGTTCGAGTACCTTGGGCTCAGTGTATTCACTATGGTAAGTTTTTAGGAAAGTACTATATTGAGTATGAATCTCGAGTACTAGAGCCACATTCAAATGTGCATTCTATCTTATCCAAGGTTAATTTTCTTTTCATTTTACAAGTGAAAGAAATCATTTTCTTAACAATATTTGGATAGTGAAGAATACTGCAAAATAGCATACGAGAAGTAACGAACAATCCACTGTCACAAGAATAAAGACTAGATTTCTAAGTGTGTTGCACATTATGCAAGTTATGCGGTATTGGCTCCGTGTGTTTAGGGTTTTCGATTAGACTGGGGAAGTAGGGGACATCCATCTCCACTCTAAATTTCGGCACTGTCCGCTAGATTTTTGGAATCTTGTTCCGTCTAAAATTTGTCTAACCTTTTATTACCCTTTATTACTCCGCAGTGCAGAGTAATAAAAGTTCCTTTCATTTTACAAATGTTTCACTTGTTTAGAAAAATCTGTTCACCAACTTTTTAAAAAGACTGTCCGCCATAAAAATCTTCCCGCTCTAACTAAAAACAATCGGAAACCCTGCCTGTATTGAACATAGGATCGTAAATACTCAGATGTGTTTCTCAGCTTTCGCTACGTTATGTTCTTAAGTTTCTATAAACATATGATGAATAGAATTTGATAAAAAAAATAAGCACCACTACTTCTGTACAATATTTTACAAGTGTTCACTGTTTAACTGACATTAGTAAAATATAGAATACACTTTTTCTTTGTTTCATAAAACGAATTTACAATCAGTAAAAGACAAAGTTGAACCATACGTTGCATAGAACTTTGTCATGTCACATTTAAACTGGCACCTGAGCATAAAAATACACTTTTCAGCATGAACGTGGATGTATGATCGGTAAAAAGATGGCTTATGTCGATGATTAGTTAGTATCGCGCGTATGAGTGTCTCATTGTAAGATTAAGAGAGTTTATATCTTAATAAACTTTTATATCCAAGGCATTTCCAAATACACTGTGAAAAGAAAGTAACGAAAAAAATGTAAAGAGCACATTTTTGCCCTTGCTGCATTTTTTTTTTGTTACATTTTGCGGAAAGATGGTCTGCATTTCAAGGTGCTACCGAAGTAGAAGGCTTATAGGAAGCTAAGAGAAAGATTTATTCCTGGATTTTGGCGATTCCTCTCCCATGGTGGTCATCTTTTACGCATGTTTTACTATGTATGTTGTATTCAGATACTTTAAAAAAGAATTCAAAACCCTATTCATCGTCATCTATTAGGTACTCTCGCTATTATTATTTTGTTAAAACAAAGATATATAAAAACGAAATAAAAATTGAGACATATCTATATAGAACTTTTTATTCTCTTTTTATGCTTGTCATACATAGTCTATAGAAAGAGTTTAGTTTAAAATACTATAATGGAATATTTTTCCGCTTGTATTCTGAAGGAATAAAGCTTATGTCATATCAACGAGAGATCCCAGAACTTCTGATTTTTGGAACTTATTCTGCCTCGTTTCTGCTCTTTGTTGACTTAAGGTCTACTGATTGACATTTGCTCTGTACGGAATAATGCTGGACCATGTTTGACCATGTCGATCCTATATAATACATTGGTTTAACAGCTACGGTAGAAAAATACTTTTTTAAAAATCCCGTACTCGATTACTTTTTTTGAATAATCGTTAAAAAAATCCCGAGTATGAGTACGAGTATCGCAAATTTTCATGTTACTTGTTCATTATCGGTTCGCAATTATCAAATTAACTACTGGTACAATCTATACTTATAAATATTCTTTTTCACGTTTGTAACCACTATATGGTTTTCTTTCAAAAGATTAATTTCTCAGGCACAAAGACAAATAAGTTTATACTTCAGAGAAGGGAAGTAAACTATATTCCAAAAAACAATTACAACTATTCATTAGCAAAGACGTAACTATTGACAACACCTTTGTCGCTGTCTGCTTAATCTGTTCCCTCAAGAGAAATAAGCTGCAAAAAACATGGCTACTTGGGTAAAAAGTGGATTTTGTTTCATTATGAGAAAGTTGGATTTCAAGTTTGAAATAAAAATTCTTTCTGTAAGCTGTTTCAGCTTAATAAATCTTCCGTTCTGCGTTCTACCTATGTCGTAAAAGTAGTCGTCCGTAGACATGCAAATGGTAACCAGTAAAACGTTAACAGTAAATCACCATGACCGTTGCATACCTAGCCGTCCGTAATCCAGAGCTGTTTCCAAGAAAGATGAAAAAAATGAATCATATCTCATTGACTAACATCCGCAGCGAATTTTAAGATAATTTTTTTCTTATAATCAGATGGTATGTAACCCTTGCCTCCTTCCTACTCTCATCGCTTGGCGAACGGGCACAGAGATCTCAGAAATCAATCAAAATAAAGCAGTAATTTTTCAAAGAGAGAGAAGAGTGACATTTTACTTCAAACGTTTTATCACCTTGATCGTAGACTCTTTCTTTAACTCTAGGTATAAAAAACTATAGTTGTTCGATGATTTCTTGAATTATTTGATGGCATTCTAATGCTAGCTGAAGCAAGGTTTTGTGTTTTACTACAGCGGTGAACAAACTTTCATTTTAGTGTTTTTCTGTTTTGCTTCTTAGATATGGCGTCGGGCCTAAATCTTTCATCATCGTCGCCCCATGCGGACGATGTGCCATCTGTCTACTTTTCTGGTATATGTCAAACAATTTCTGTAAAATGTCAGCATCGAAACGAACAAGGTGGTCTCTCGTGTTCAAATAATCTTTATACGTCCTGTCCTCATTGTCATTTGTTACTTTGTATAAATCACATTCATGAACATGAAAATCTTCTCCGGTATGAAATTGAACAATTAATTAATGAAACAAATATCGTTAAAGCTAACATTCGAGCATTAACAACACCACAATCACCGTTTGATGAACAAAAACAACGTAACTATTTTTACAAAGTTAGCCTAGGCATATAGTAATTTATTTTAAATGTTTTCAGGAACATTATGTGAATTATTAGAACGTTGGTCAACTGTGGGTAAAATATCAATGAGTCAGGCAGCTCTAATTCAACATCAGTGTGTTTATGGAACAACAAGTAGTACGAATAATAATAACAATAATATCAACACTACGAATAAAACTTACAAACAACCACAACCATCCCAACACGTCATTCAACATCAACTTGCACAGCAACAACATCATCATCATCATCCATCATTGACACAAAATACAAAAAAACGTCGTAGTGGAAAAAATAAAATAGTTACACTTTTAATGAAAAATGAAAATGGTGAATATGAATGTCCAAATGTACAATGTCGAAAATCACTTAAATGTCAAGGCATTACTGCTCATGTGAAAGCATGTGCTGTCGAATGGCTTAAAGAAAACGGACAATATCTAGCGATGACTTAAAAATGTATTAGCAAAATCTAAGTTTGTATATTCTAGATTGGCAAAAAGAATGCGTGTTGTTCTTATTGTCATTGTTTCTTTCTATTGTAATTATTTTTTTATGTATTACTCGTAACGCGCATGTGTGTGTGAGTGTGTGTATGTGTACATATTATTGATCTGTTTTTTTTTTATCTCGCTGCACATAAATGATGGTTTACTTTTTTCTTTTCATATAGTAGTGACCTTCTTTGTATATTGTACTGTCTTAATTCATACACTGATATACTGTTTTTTTTCCGATATAAACTAAACTTATTCTTGTATAGAATATAGAACAAATACTGAAGTTTTAGATGTTCCGTATCCAAAAATGATTTTGATGCACGATTGTATCTGATGGGATTATACCGTGGTATGGTATGAAGTGTAAAAATCTGACATAACCTTTATTTTTCTGATAAGATCTTTTTTTGAATTCATTTTGTCTCCTGGCTTAAATCCACATCCAATCATTAAAAAAAATTTGCCATCGTTTTTTGTTTTAGATATTCGATGTTTTATTTTTCTCGTAATCTTGATACTTTACTCGAATGTTCAATACATATCTGTTCATGTATTACTGATACTATTGTTTTCCCATCAGTATACTGCTAATCATCAACCTATGTCGAAGGTTGCAATATAATCATAAACAGATTCTATGCAGAGAACGATTTAATAATCTAATCCATCGATCTCGTCAACATAATTGTTGTCGTCATTCCAGTGTTTTGATGATCATACAAACAGTGTACTATGTTCATTGTCGTATATTGCAGTCAGTTTCGAATGGATTTGATGCTTGCCTACAAACTTTCTTGTTGCATAACTGACAACAAAGTTCCTCAAACATAATAATTATTTATAATAGCATCCAGTCAGATAACAGACAGTGTTTGGTCAGAATTTGATATTGAATCTTTCCAAATCCATGTATAATTTCAATTGGAAACTAGGCAAGCTTCAGTAATAACATAAGTACAAGATCTTCGCATTTTTGAATGAAAGACATACTACATCAGAATAATAGTTGCCATTTCTTAAACTGGAAACTATGGGAAAACTCGACAATGACGAACATCATTTGAGCCAAAGTTTAGCCTACCTATTTCAATTACAAACAAATGTCTATAGTAAGTAGATTCTAGTTACTAAACATGATTTTCTCATCGCCGATTTGGTCGTTCCGTGATCTGTTTACTTTATTATGAGATGTCATCTCAGACTGGAAAGAGAACTAGAAGAGGGTTTTTGGTGTTTTTAAAGCTATTTCATGTGAAATACAGTCATATAAAACATCTGTCTATAGCACTTTTATAGTAATCGAGACATACTCAGTCCAGGAGTTTCGGTGAGTGATCATTTTGTTGTTGTTTTGAGGGCAAAAGGTTATGTTAGTTCGTTTGTTTTGTTCTCGTTTGATTGACATTTGAATTGAAACAAGAAAAGAAAATTGTATACAATGTGTGAAACAAAGCATCAAACAAATTCAAGACATTCCATACAAAAAATGGTAGAAGTTCAAATCACATCGCACAGGTCTGTTGAAACCATTTTCCAATTTATAACAATAGATTTTGATTTGAAACAAAATTATTCATTGAAGAATGAAAGTGGCATATTAAATGAAACAAGTAGTATGGAAAATTATATTCCAGTATCTCAAAATATATTTTTCGAGAAAACTTTCGCACATTTTCCTTTCTATAGTGATTCGAATCTCGTATTGCATTTGTTGTTTATGTTATTTTTTATTTTTCACTACATTTTTTTGAAATTCTTTTTGTTTGTGCTCGCACAAATCTTACTATAGATCATACTTCAGATTTTGCTCTTATGAATTATAAATTTTTTTTTTATGACTTGTTCACTGAAGTAATCGTTGTCTTTTCAATTATTATAAAGTGATATAATAAAACTCGACAAGATGACTGAATGTCACTTCGAATGATGCATTCTTCTTCACTACTTCCTCCTACTTTGCAAGAAACTATACACACCTTTTTAAACTAGAAGAGGATAAGAGTTTAGATATATGTGATTTGTTTTTCCTTAAAACCACCCACTCACAAAATGTTCCATTTATTAACTCTTTTGTGGGCTGATTTTAGATTATGCGTTCAACATCTTTAGTTGGTTCAACTTACATAACAATTCGTATTTTATCAACCGATGGTAATATTTATGAAGAAAGTTTTTCACCGGATACAAATTATTCTGAAATCAAACAATCGGCCATTCGACATTTAGTCAGTCGTTATCACTTCGTAGATTCTTACAAATTGCCATATCGTCGCTCATCATTTGTTACACCAGCCACTTCTTCTTCAACGACTTACAGTGAACAACATGAAAAACTCATCGAAACTACTCCATCTTATAAATTAATATCAGTAGTCAATAGACGACCAGTTGACGACGAAAAAACTTTATCGCAAGAACGTGCAAAAGACGGAGGTATACGTGTATTTTCATAAAAAAATTATTGATATTTCGTACAGTTTGTCTTTTTTCATCTTAAGATGAATATATTCTTTGTGCAAAACGTGTGCCAACAGTCAAAGATAACGAAGTAAGTGAATTAAACATTATTTTTTGTTTAAATGGCAATATATTCCTCAAATTAAGTAGAATAGACCATCCATAAAAATTGATCAACAAATGATTGATTCAAAAACTCATGGCCTCAAACGAATGCATCCCCAGATAAATAAAGATTTGCGGGCTGGACCAATAACAGATGTAGGTTAGTAATCTTGCATCACTTTATCGTTATTATCCTCTCGTCTTGTATATTTTAGTTTCATACTGATTTAAATAAAATATTGTGCACGTTAATTGATGCTGCACAAAAATTACTCTATTGTAGACCAGATGCTGAAGCTATTTTCAAGCAAGCTGATGGTATGAATATTTTGTTTAGAATAATATTCCACCATGTGAGATTATTTTTATCTTAGAACTGTTGACAAACTCAACATCGCCATTGGATGAAGAGGCAAGAACAACAGATGATACAATAAATCAAAAGGATTATCGACAACGACAACTATCTAAATTATGTGATATGGGCTATAATGAAGATCGAGCAAGATATGCATTGAAAAAAACCAGGTAGAAAGATGTTCTTATCATTTTTTAGTGTCGTTTATTTTAAATAATATTCTAATAAATTAGATACGATCTCAATGCATCAATGGAATGGTTGCTTAATCACGAAGAAGAATCAATACCAAATGATAATAGTTCGGCTGATGAAAACGACGAAGATGACACGCCGGTAAAGAGTTCTTTCTTTTCGTATGCGTCAAATAATAAGTTCTTCTCTTTTTTCTATCTAGCAACAGGAATCATCATCTTCAAACACTAATATGTCATTATTTTCTCCTACTGGACCATTTCGTTCATTTCGTGAGATACGTCAACAACGATTTCGTCCGAGCCGAAGTGTATGTTTATTTGTCATGGATTCTGCCATCATCAATTTTAACCAATTATTTTTTTCAGGCATTAAATTCGTTAAAAGAGGTTGGCTTTTCCGAAGAGGATATATTAGTGGCATTAAGAGCATGTAATAATGATAAAAATGTTGCTGTAAGCTAGACAAAAAAAGTCTAATTCTCGACAATAACAAATTTGTTCTTATCTTTCGATTAGTGTGAATGGCTGCTTGGTGAAAAAAATTCACATCGTGATGATTATGAAAGCGGTCTAGATCCAGAGTCAAGTATCTACAAAGCAATAATGAGTAACTCTGTTGTACAAATTGCATTGAATAATCCTAAAACATTTTTTGGTGAGTTCATATAAATCACTCCAGTCCTTTTCTGTTATCCAGATTTATACTTTATTTTTCTTCTTGTGTAGTCATGCTACAAATAGCTGAAAATCAAGCTAGTCTAACACAATATTTAAATGATATAGAAATTGGCAATATGTTGTTACAGATATCGAGAATATATCATGCTGAAAAAGATAATATGAATATAAATGATCAATTAACAACAATAACAAATGATCATTGAAAGTTTACTGTTACTCTTTATTTTCTGTTTTTTTCATTGATATTATACTATTGATGCAAAATATGTAATTATTTGTCGTGTTTTTTATATTATATTTTTTAATAAAGCGTTTTATCAGAAGGTTATTTAATTTATGTATGAATATTCTCAAGAGTGTATATGCTCTGCGTCAGGAGGTTTCACATTATCAAGAAGTAAAAAATTATTGCTTAGTCTTTTATTCCAAAGGCAACAAGCAATGTAAATGTTCGGAATTTTTATGAAAAGAAAATAATTCTCGTAAAATTACGTTTGGTAAATTATGTGGAAAAGTTTCAAAGTTTTAAAGTCAGTACCAGATTATCTAATTAGTCATTTTCTTAAATGTGCATGAAAAGTTTTTTGACAATGTCTTTATTCATTATTGATTTAACCTAAACTATTACTAACTAACAAACTAAATTAAGACCCTCCTCGGGTCAGAAACCTATCTCAACCACGGTATGTCTGATCTGAACCAAACCTTCCGGAAATGTTGACCGTGGCAAAGTGTGGTAACGAAATTGTTTTTGGCGCCACTTACAACTGTTCGTAAGAGGGCGTCACAAAAGGGCCAAAAATAGGCGTCTACCACGTGCAATAATTCTCATTCCAGGTAAATGATAGAGAGCTCGGGCTTTTTTTGTTTTGCAGTAAACACCTATGGCTAGGAGTTGACAGAGCCTGATTTTTGAATTTCTCATTTACTGATTTCTGGTGCTTAATAGAACTTTAAAATCCGAAAATCCATTTATTAACTTTTGTACAACTGTACAATTTTAGAACATAAAAAGGAGGTAGAAAAGAGTACAGAAGAAAAGGACAAAAATACTAAAGAAAAAAACTAGATAAACGAATAATAATAGACACTACTTGCAAAAAACACGATTTTGTAAGAGCGGAGAAAACGTATTGACGCAGTAGTTTTAAAGGAATAAAGATACCAGTATCATCACAACTTATAGATATATTGATTAAGTGAGTACAAGATTGAATTCCAAATATAATAAACACGTCAGTTACGGTGAAACCATTTTGTATCTTGATTTAATTCAGAGAAACGTGTATTATATACAAGGGGGAAACAGCTGATTTTGGAACTTTTCCGATTTTCACTGATTTTCACCGATTTTCATTGATTATTACCGATTTTCACCGGTTCTGACAAATTTTCACAGATTCGCAGCGATTTTCTGTCATTTTTTTGGGAAATGGGAATAGCGTTGTATTGAGAAATAGTGCGAAAACTGCTCTATTTGTACAAAATGGGAATCAGACATAGTGAAAGTGAAGAAAAAAACGATAAAATCATTAGCGATTTTTAGAGATTTTTTTTAATAATTTTTGGAGATTTTTTAGGATTTTAGTGATTTTTAGCGATTTTTGATTTAAACCGATTTTTTAAGCTCAAAAATCAGCTGTTTCCCCCTTGATTATTTATCATTCTGTCGAGAAAGGAACAAATAAATGAAAATGGTTTATTTTTTTGCTGAACGATGAATAATTATTTCGATGTTCAAATTAGATATTTAGGTTTTATGCAGAAGGCTGTTTAAACATAGCATGATGTCTACTTTTTTTGGGATATTAGTGATAAATAACTTATATCTCTCATTATTTACATAATCTATGTCAAGTTTGAAACAACTGTGTTATGAAGTCGCAGCGAAAATTTATCCAGATTATGAAAAAAATTTTCTTTTCTAATCCAGAACAATCAAGGCTTTTTCATGATAAACGCTAATAAAGCTTTTAAACTATCATTTCTTTCGACTTGCTGCATACATAATAGTACAAAGTTGGAAATTGCCGTTATTAAAATGAAGGTGGTGATATTGATGTGAATAGGTAAAAAAATTGGAGAGTTAAATGTTGAAATAATCAAATAGACTATGTTTGATAAAATTAAACCCATACTCTTCAGTTCAAGTCCGTATCCTGATCGAAAAGCTCAAATCTGTACTCAGACTCGCTCGGTCCTGACAGCAACCAAAGATAACTGTTGATAAACACTGTCAAGCGTAAATTACAAATAAAATGTTTCTTATAAACAAGATGAAAGGAAGAACTAACCACATACCAATCCTGAACTAGAGTGAACATCAAAAAGATAAAGCATGCAAAAAACATAGCAATAAAGTAAAAACTATAGCAGTTAAAAGAATTTGAGCTCAATTTAGCCCATGAAAAGTGTCAATTCCCAAATGTCAGTTCTCCATTGAAATTTTCTATCAAGAATTTTTTCAGTCTAACTTCTTCTATTACTGGATTACTGGATCTCCTGTGGATCGAGACGCCTAGTTTACTCTTGCAGGGGTTTTGACGATTAGAGCACACATTGTTGGCAGCAGCAGTATATGGCAATACAATACTTGATGTAGCTGTTAGTATAGGAGGATTAATTATATCTTGTGTTGCCTGTCGTTGTGCGCCTCGATTTTCGTATTGCTAACCTATTGATATTCCGGTGAGCTGGTTGCACTTTGGCATACTTATTAGCTATATCTCACCATGCGTTTTTGGTCTTGTTCAAAACTTCTCTTTCTCAGTTTTACTACTGACCGCTTCGAGATCATTTTGAATGAAATCCGACCATCTTCTTTTAACTCTATATGACTCAATCGATCCTAATAATAACAGTATATGGCCTTAGTGGTAACACGGGCTAAATAATACTACTATCTACTATATATGTGTTCTCAGTGTTCCAGATTTCAGCTCTCCATAGTCGATCAACAAACTCTGAGTAGAGATATTGCTGAAAACATTTCCCTATTGCATAACTAATGGACTTTAAAAGGTTTCTAGAGGATAGCCAAATGGAATCGAAAAATTTTTCCTGCCGTATCTTGACCCAGAATTTGTCGTGTGTACAAAGTGCTCGGCTATGAGAGAGTCCAGATTTGGAATCGATTCTGACCTAACAACTTTTTAAAACTTTTCGATCAGGTTGTTACAACATACCTCCCAGATGTTTCGGCGGCTTATACGTCGCACCATGGACATTTCGAAAAGAAGTAACAAGTCTCTTTCAACTACAAATTGAGACAATAGGACAAAAATGTGATCGATAGTATATATAGTAGACAACAGTATCACTTCTTATTCTATTTTAACTATAGTATTGACGACAAATAGTTTCGAATTAAAGACCATCGATATGATTTTGTCGTATAGTATTGTCATTTCTCTCAGTCGAATAACTACTTCAAGGTTTTTCCTATTAATTCCCCTTTTTTGTCTAATACAGACTATGAGGATAGAAATCATACTGACACTATAGTATCAGAGACGCCGCGAAGCACAAGAAGCAGGAAGGGAGTCCTGTAATTTTGAAGTAAATCGAAAAATTTTAAAAATGAGAGTAAATATCTGATTTGCCAAAAATACGCAAGTTTTGACATACAAAACGCTCCTTTGAGTTTAAGAGTAAAACGTGCTGATTTATCGTCATAACCCGAGCAATTAATTGAATTCTGAGCCGCAAACTTTGACTTTGGAAGTAAACTCAACTGTTGATACGAAGAGTCATGAATTTATAACGCGGGATTTGGGAGCAAAGTTAGTGAAAGAGAGCAAGAAGAATGCAAAGCTTTCAAAATGCGACCGGTGGCAGATTTTCTTGTAAACAAAAAACAGAAAATATGTCGGTACTTACTCTTAACCGAGAGTATTTATAACGTAATGAGACAACGATTGCCCATTATGCAGCATCAAATCAGAGCTCAGAGCTTTCCCTCTTCATTTCCACATGCTGTTAACTTTATTAGCATACACCAGACAGTGCTGATTGTTGATTTCAATTCCAGAGCAAAAACTTATCGGATTTGGGAGCAAAAGATTTCAAAAATCAGGGAGGGGGATCCTCCTCTCTACTCCTGTTGTCGTGGCGTCCTTGTATAGTATTGCAGTAACGATATATTCTCGTATGTTTTTTTTTTGTTATAGTCACAATCAAGATATTTTTTCAATGTGGCATGCTAAAAGCGCTTATATATTTTGAGATATTTCAGCTTATGATACTTTTCAAAAATAAATACATGGAACAAAACAAAAAAATGCATAACATCAGCGCATCTGTATCTCCTTCAGTTTACGCTTCTTGTGGATAGAAAAATATTTGATTGAAAAAATATTTGTCAGATTTCGTGGCTTTCGCATTCTAACATAAAGCTAAATGCCGATGTAGTCTTGAATGCCCTTTTGAATGCCTTTTCCTTCAAATTCAACTGCTTCCAATCACAGAAGGATGGTTTCATCTCTAGTTGATAAGCGTAAAAAATTTCAGAGACTTCCTTAAAGAGAATTCGGCGAAAATCCAGTTCTAAAATTCTTCAGAATTTCCGTAAGACTTTTTTTAAAAACTAGTGAATCAAGTGTACGAACTTTCTCTTTAGCCTATTAATTTTATTTTCTTACATTAAAAAGATATTAATAAAGAGAAATTAATATGTAGCAAAGGTGTGTAGAGATTTTCATTTTTGAAGGAATGTCACAGGATTTCACCAGAAATTGTCGATTTAACTCTTCTTTGATATTGAAAATAAGGCGCTTCTGTTTCAAATCAGTTTGGACAATGTTACTCTACAGGATTGATCTCTGTTTAAAAAGTAGATATAACAAGACTGATATAAAATCTTGAAAATAATACTAATAGTAAAAGCGGCGCGTTTCTTTGTCTAACAGCGTCTGTCTAGTTTCATGTTATTTGATATTCATTAAGATATTTTAATTTGTATTCTTAAACGAAAGAAATAGTTGGTCTCATTGAATGTTCAATAAATATTTAGGTAAATAAAGTATCACTGAAATACATAGTATAGGAGTAAGTGTACTTTGAATCTATTCTCACTCTGCTTCTTCTCCCAACAACACGTTTTCAAAAGGCATATTCTAGAATCTACATGTTGAGTAGATTTAACAACAAAAATATTTTAAATACTAGAAACAAGGGAAAATAATCTTCATTCAAAATCTAGGCATAGTTGCACGTGGTAGAGAAGAGTTTTTTTTTTCGAAAGAATACTTTACAATTCTTTGTGGTATGTCAGTTAAAGAATTGTATTTATCTTTTTTTATAGGCATTTCTCTATTATCACGCAAATAGAAAAATATTGTCAAATTCAATATCTATTCAGGACCATCTATCTTTTTTTTCCTTTCTCTCTTTCTACATTTTTGTGCACATAATATATAAGCAGGCGTTTTTTTAAGAACAATACGCATACATTCAAATCGAAACCGTCTTCGTCAAAATTTAACAAAACATCACATTGTAAGTACCTACCATATAGACTTTATAATGAGACAGTGGAACGACGAAAGTCAACAGTTTCTACAAAACTAAATCATCGTGATATACAATATTATTGTTTATCATGATGATTTAGTGATGAATCAAAATGATCTTAAAGATCATTTTTTAGAACAAAAACTGTACTTCAGTTAATTGAGCGAAGTTAATTTTTTTTGTTTATGATTTTGAGAATCTAATCTTCCAAGCGAGAGATAGAGTTTTAGATGCGTTTCATTCTTTATTATGTGAAATATTCTATGTTTGATTTACTGCAGACTGTCGTTGCATAAAACATCATGCCTGACCTCCAAAAACTCAAAGGAACATGGAAATACGAAGATGGTGAAAAATTCGATGATTTTCTCAGTGAACTTGGTAAGTCAGTATGAATACTGTGTAGTCTGCCAGATTTTTACACTATAGTTTTTTTCTTCTAATTCTCTTGCTAGGTATTAGTTTACCATTACGTATCTCAGCCAGAGCTGTTAAACCAACAATTATTATAACCCAAGAACCTAATGGTAAATGGGTATTTAAATCTGAATCAACATTCAAAACACAGGCGTATGAATTTGAACCAAATGTTGAATTTACTGAAACAAGACTCGATGGTGAAGAAGTGAAAGTATGTAATATCTCTTCAATTATTGTGTATCATTAGTCGCATTATTTGACTTTTTTTTCAGTCAACAATTCGATTTACTGATGATGGTCATTGGATGCATACAAGTCGCGATAAAAAAGGAAAAGAATCAACAATTGAACGTTATGTTGATGAGAAGGATCAACAACAAGTTGTAAGTGTAGAATACAAAAACATATAACATTATATTCATTTCCATCTTCTTACATTCATTTCCTTGTTTATTCAAAGATTTGTTCATGTGGTAAGGTGAAATCAACCCGATGGTATAAACGAGCTTGGTAAGAAAAGCGCACATGTATGACTAATTGACAAAAACAAAGTAAGGCGTATTTTTTATATTTTAGATGATTTGGTGATTTAATCTTAGCTAAGTTTTGGTTTTTTGTTTTGTGTTTTGTATGGTGAAAAAAAACATCGTTTTGTAGTGAACGTTTTTTTTAGTGATTTTTTTTTTTTGAAAAAAATAAACGTTTGAAACAGCGAATTGTGTGTCGGACAAATATCTGGGAGATTGCATATCGCAATACATAAGATCTTTAGATTCGAAATTTATGTAAATAAATCACAAGATCATGTTCTGCCAAAGAAAAATTCATTTTACAATTTTGAATCCTAATTGAGAACATTCCTCAAACCCAAAGAAAAGAAGAAAATTTGTTCAAAAATTTCTAAGAATAGAATCTGCAGATAACCAAAAGCTCTATGACAATTTCCTCTATTTTACAAACTTTTTGAAACAACTTAGTCGTGTAGAACAAACATTTTTGGACATCGTGAAACGTCTTCAAGTTTTCTCTGATCTTTTTTCATCAAACAATATTCAACCTATGGACGCTCACAGTCTGTAAAATTTAAAACAGAAAAAAGTATCTTTAAAGCCTTTCGTACGTTGAATGCCATTTGGTAAAAATCATAGAGAGTTTGAAGACGTTTCACGATGTCCAAAAATGTTTGTTCTACACCACTGAGTTGTTTCAAAAAGTTTGTAAAATAGGGGAACTTGACATAGAGCTTTTGGTTGTCTGTAGATTCGATTCTTAGAAATGTTTGAACGACCGTTCAAACATATCTCATCTAATATGAAAATGTGTCTCCTACCTAAAGCACTGTCTAGATCTTTTTAGTCATCACGGTAAAGGGAAGCAAAATCGAAAATAAAGGTCGGTTAACCTTTTGTCGTGTAATTTTTATTCTCTATATAATCGCTACATATATTTTGTCAATAAGAATCAGCATTTAGCAACATCAATTTATCAACAAATCTTGCTACGCGTTTACATTATTTGATGTGCTATGAATTATAGCACTGGTTGGTTTGGTGCTAGTGAAAACTATGTAATTTTTGATTTATTTCGTCATTAGCTGAATGACTGTTGTAACGAAAGGTGGGAAAGCCTTGAGACAAAATCACTTTTCGCGATATACACATTTGGTCAAAAATAGAAACTAGATAAACTTCTATTAAATTCTATAATAATATCTGTTATAAAAAACGTCTTGTTCTACTAAGTCTTGTGTTTCAAAAGCAAACTTGTACGGTCGTTCCACCATTGTACATCACTGTATAAAACGATATTAATAAACATATTGATGATAACTAACAAAACATTTCCTTGTTCATTGAAAAATTTGTACATGTGGTAAGGTGAGATAGATAAAGATAAAGTAAAGATCACATAACGGGAATAAAGGTTTTTTTATGCGAGGTATGCATGGGGCGATTTCTAACGCCGCAGAATTTTTTAATCAGAGTCTTAACACAGAAAGCAAGTTACAGAAGTAGAACTCCAATCTCTTATTCTTCTCAATGTCTTTATGTTGTGAATCATGCCTTTAGTTAACGTGTTTTGAATCAGAAAACAACTTCTTATTGATAAAGCTCCTCTGATTAACAAATTATGTGGTCTTCGAACCCTCATCACTGCATATCTTGCATGAAAGGAAACTTTTATTCCTTATTTTATCTTTACTTTTTAAAGGTAAATGATTCATTTATCTTTACTTTTCAAAAGTGAAGGATTCATTTATCTTTACTTTTTAAATAATAATTTATTTTTCATTTATTTATCTTTATTTTCTAAAGATAAATGATTAATTTACCTTTATTTTTCAACATAACACTAAATGAACATCCCTAGTTCTAACGTTTTTCGAGTGAATATTTAATTTTTTAGTACTAGTCGGAACAAAAGTCGGAAAACCCTAGTTTTCAAATAAACTCGATTTTCACCAGGTTTCTAGATTCTTTTCAGAAACAAACATTGTGGAAAAATTCAGCGCTATCGATTACCTATGTTCCCTGTGATTTCAAGGCTATGCGAAGTCGCTGGGTACGAGCCCTAGTACTCCAAGGAAATCCGATACCGATTCGGTGCGCTAACATAGCCCCTACCTACGGACAAATCGCGTATCAAAGTCAAAAAGACCGCCTCCAGGCTTCGTTAACCTTTCTATTAGAGACATACTGTAGAGCTTTTCACGGCGCATCGAATGATGTATTGCATTAGATTAAGTTTTAGACTGTTACGCAGTGATTTCGATTTTACAGTCATACTTATGGTGCTAAGAGGTTGTTTGTTTTAAAGTAGATTTTGTCGGATAGGTTCGACCGGAAGCGCTCAGAAGGGTCGAAACCATCGAATATGATGATTCTAGTGAGTTTTGGACGGATTGGAGCGATAAAAGTTGGTGGGCTGATTTTTTTCTTATGCGGACTTGTGCTTTGGATTAAGCTTGATATTAACAAAAGTCTGTCTACCGTTTTTGTTAGATTATTTGGATAACTGCATAGATACATCACTACACACAAAACACGTAGTAAGATGTGATATTTCGACGTATACACTTTAAATTTCTAATTATAACCATTGAATTGTTCTGATATTTTCTGTTGTTTTGACTATTATTTGTGTTCCCGGTCGTTCATGTACACAACAAGATGAACATTTACGTTCTTTGACGACTAAAAAACGTATAAACTATGAATTACAGTAGCAATAAAAAAATATCATAACACACATAACAGTTGATAATTCGAAATCAGTTTTAATAACTAAAGATGGTCTAGATCTGTCATGATTTACTTTTTCTCTCATCCATGGTGTATCATCAACAGTTAACATTTGGCTTTGCATTGATTGATAAGCGGATTCTGCCGTACAACTATTATTATCATCTTAACTTGATTTTGGCGATCGAAGTTTTATCTAATAAAAGATGAAAGTTTATGAACTAAATTTGTTAACACACTTCTTTCATTATTCATAAAAGATACTTGTCTTATATACGATCTTTTTTATATATTGATACAATTAACTTTCCTGCTTGCTTTCTACTCTTCTCCTTGTTTACACTGTTGCTCTCCCGCTCTTTCTTCGTTGCGAACCCGCATTTGCTAATACAATCTAGTCGTATGAGGACCACGAATTTGGTTCTTGTTGGTTCTTTATTGTTGTTCTCTTTTTTTTTTCTCTTTACAAATAAAGTTCATAACAAAAATTTAAGAAAGAATTCAGTATAAATGTTAAACTAAAAATGTACTGGATATCTTTTGTTTCACAACAAATTAATGGAGATTTTGACTGATAATACAAATGAAATTCCTGACAGAAAACTAAAATAAAAATATTTGATAACAAGAATATATTCACATAATTGTTATTGTTTATTAAGAACTTGAATTAAAATAATAATCACATTTTAATATTGGACAATCTCGTACTTCAAGAATATAATCATAATAAATTGTATATGTTGGTAAACTATCTGAAGTATTAGTATCACCACCTTGATAACCACATTGTTCCAATGTTTTCATTTGATCAAGTAGTGTATGTTTATTACGTACTTTTTCTCGAAATAAATTTAATACTTTTGTTGGATAATCATTATGTTCAATAACCATATGTGCTAAAGTATAAACACTTATATGAGATTGAATTGTTAATTTAAAATGTCCAGGATAATCTTTATAATTATCAAATGTTATTAAACGAAGATTGGCAATAAAATATCTAAATATTATTTAGAAAAAAAATTGTATAGAATATCATCATACTAAATGGAAATGATGGACGTACTTTGGATTACTCAATTGAAATGGTTCATAAAATGGTCGTTGTTTGTCTTTCGTACGATTGAACTTTTCAAGAAATGGTTCTGGGATCGGATTGGTTCTAAAAAACGAGAGATAATAGAGAAACATTTTATTTTCGTAGTATATAAGTCTTTTAGTCTACACTTAATGACTCATACTCATTTTGCAAACAATTTTATTATTATTTGTTCTATCATTTCCCGTTCTGCAAGCAAAAAAATTATCAACATTTTTCCCATTTTAAAGGTCAACCATTTAAGAGAAATAACAATTTTGATTTTAGAAATAAAAAGGTATATATGCTCATACTACCTATCAGATAAGAATACATAAAAGAATTCTTTTTAATTCTAAAAGTAAAACTATTTTTTGGATCAAACGGTTCACAATCTAACCTAAAGAATCTCGTTTGAGGCATCATAACTATAGGTCGATTCATATATAATATTGATGGAAAAGAAGTAGAATAGTTCTGGTATGTATATTTTTGCATTATATATATATTTTTGTACTCTTCCGAGTAAAAATTGATATTTTTCTCTTAATTACGTTGCTTGAAAAATGGGAAAATTTTTAATAATGTTAAGAAACCTACTTAATGTATTTGAGTAATCCATTTTCTAATAATGTATAGTTAACATTCATTGTGTTTGAGTCAACAGCATCGATATCTTCATCGTCAGTTGCAATGGTAGTATCTTCCAATATTTTGGCAACGGCATAGATATCAACAGCAGTCATTTGTAACGGTAAATCTTTCAAAACTAAAGTTTATGAAAAATATATCATCATGTGATATTCTATCACGTATTAAAATCGCACGTTCAATGAAAAAAAATAGTTCTCATGTACAGTATATTATAAATAAAGAGTTGCATCAATAAGCGGTTGTGAAGCAATCTTCATGCAAAAAATTTTGTGAGTAGAGAATTCTCTACAAAATGGGCAGACAGTGTTTTGTTGTTTTATTAGACGATTAATCTAAATGGCTATAAAGTCTATATTAGATCTTATTAACCTAATTTAAAATGATCATACGTTAATTTTCCAGTGCCACGTTTGTCCATATAATGGCACAAATCCATTATTCCTGCAATATTTTTCATAATTCCAGGATGTGTACGACGAAGAAACAAATTTAACTCGTCCAAGGAATTAAATAGACTTTTACTCGATTTTGCCAAATTCTCCTAGAATTGTAGATTACAAATTTAATAAAAAAAGTCCTCTGATTTCGTTCATCGTACTAGTTCTTTTTCACGACCAGTTTTCTTTTTCTTCTTTTTCTTTTTTTTCGATTTTTCAGTTGGAGCAAGTAGAGAGTTTAAGATTGATGGAGGCTCTGCTACAACTTTGGCATCAGTCACAATAGCATGATTATCAACTTCTTGCATTGCTGTTGTTAATTCTGTCATCTAAAATAAAAAAACCACCATCGTTAGCCTCAAATCACGTGAATGACTGTCACAAAAAAAAAATACTCAATAAACGAACAGTTATTTCTGAGACTTGCCGGGGAACTTTTTTTCTAGTTAAGTGGTATACACTAAAACTCTTTTTTCTAAAAAAAATATTTGTTTTATTTATTCATTTACGTTCATGAACAAAGCTCATCTATTATGATTTTGTAAATATCTGGTTTGGTTACCATTTTCTTTTCTTCTTAAAACTGTTGCTAAGAGACATTTTTTGACACGATCTGTGCATAAATGTGTCATAAACATTTTCGACTGAACTCATTCCTTTCTGATATTCTTTTTTTACTACTACAGTTTCACTAACTGATTTTGTTTATTATGAAGTATATTAGGCAAGTAGAATAGATCTAAAATTGTCTTTTATCTGTTTCATAATGTTCTTTGTCCAACTTGTTCGTTTTTCTCTATAGCAAGAACAAACGTTTGCAGTTACCGAGCAACCGTCAAAAAGTTGAAGGTGTGTGCATTTGGTTGAATTTAT